TCCCTCCCCCGCCCCTGGCCTCGGCGGCCGGAGCTGCGCCGGGCCGGGTCAGCTGGCTGCCTTTGTGGCTGCTTCCCAGGAAGGAAGAAGCGCTGTCTGCAGATCAGTTATCAGCCGGCTTTCCTGCGCCGCAGCGCCGCCGTTTTCCGGGGACGGCTGCCACCCCCGTGATTCCCAGCCGGGCTGCGCGGTGCGTGAGAGGCGGATAAATAGGCCATTGTGAGGCCGCTGGGATCCAGGTTCCTTATCAAACTATCCGCCAGCGAGGAAAAGATTCCGCCCCTGCTGCCAGGCATCTCGGCTTCTCTTCTTTCCCTCACAGTTACAGCCATTTACACTTTTTTTTTTCCAGTTTGGAAGGGAATATTCAGAAAGCAATTTAAGCACTTGTGCCATTTACTGTGTGAGGCAGGGACTTGGGGTGGGAGGAGCGTATCTACCAACAGAATGGTGTGGCTGGGGTTTGGTTTGCCACCTTGAAGGCCGCTGTGGCCTTGGTCCCAGCTGCACGCAACAGGACTGCAAATCTCTTGGTTTCTACATTGACTGTGGAGGTTTGTTTTTTGTTTTGCAGCCTTGAACTGCGTGATAGACAAACCCTGAAGAGGGAAAAGACCAGTGGGAACTAGTCGTTGGAGGAAGACTACAAGGAAGTGTGGCAGTTCTGGGGACAGCCAGTGTTGCTGGTGTTGATAGTGTGTTTTTAATGGTTTGTTTTATTTTTCTGCTGCAGCAGCTGCGTGCCTCAGGAGGGGTTGGGGTTTCCTGGCCCTGGACTTATTACATAGTAATCAGTAGGGAGACTGGGTTTGTGGACCTGTGCTCAAAGGGGGACACATGCTGGCTGAATGTTCTCCTATCACCATCTGGAAATGCTTAATAGTTTTCTTTTTCTTTTTCTGTTTTTTTTTTTTTTTTTTTTTTTTTAGAAGACCATGCATCTGCAGTTTGCACTGGGTTCCAAAAATTATGTAGTAATTTGTAGTAGGAGTCCATATTCTTTTGAAGAATGGTCTGAATGAGTTCCCATTTGAGATAATTGTCTGTGGTTAGTTGATGAGGTGCTGAAGGTGATTCTCTTAATTTTCAAGTGTATCTGCCATCGTTGATTAATGTTCTACAAACTAAGCTAGGCCCCTTGGGACTTAAAAAGTGCACTCATCGAAGATATAGTGATTTCTATATTAAGGTCCTCCTTTGTACAATTGTTGCTTCTCTTTCCTTTTCTACTCTAAAATGCCTAGCTTGCAGACGTGGAAGGCAAGGCAGGATTAAAAATAGACACATCCTGGCAAAACTCTCACAGTGTGGGGGAATTGTGTTGTTTAATACTTGGAGCACTTGTTAGAGTGTGGTATGTCTCCAAAACTCTAGGTTGAAGCTACAGCCCTCCAAAGTGACAGTATTTGGAAGCGGGTCTTCGAGAGGTAATTAGACTTGGATGTGGTCATGAGGGTGGGTCCCCATGATGGAAATGTCCTTACAAGAGGAAGAGAAACCAGAGCCCTGTCTCTCTACCATGTGAAAACACAGCTAAAGGCAGGTAGTTGCAAGCCAGGATCAGGACCCTAACCAGGAAGCAGATCTGCTGACGCTCTGATATTGGACTTGTAGCCTCCAGAACTGTAAGAAATTAGTGTCTGTTGGTTAAGCCACTCAACATATGATATTTTGGCTTAGCAGCCCAAGATGACTAAGTGCCTACACAACTGTGGGAAATTAATCTGTGACTTGGCATCCATGAGAGACAGGAGAGGGAGGGTGGCATGTTTCATAACAAACAAGTAAAATGCCATTTTGCTAGAAATAGTTTGTGTAAGAAAGAATTGTTCTAGCTTAATACAAAAAATTCCCTTCCACAGTTGTCTTTTAATTGCTTAAATCCTTTTCTCATTGGCTTATGCCTCATTTGCGTTTACTCAAAAAAAGATAGTATAATACAGGTAGTAGCAGTGGCATTGTGATACAATAAGTAGCCACCTTAATACCTGACATATACTACTTACAGGAAAAATGGTTTACACTGGCTCACAGTTTCAGAAGCTTCAGTCCATGGTTAGCTGGCTTCAAGGAAGGCATAATATGATGGAAAGGTACGGCAGAGGAAAGATGCCTACCTTATAGCAGCCAGGAAACAGACCAGAAGGGGAGCCAAAGAGAGGGAGGTGCTAGGGACAGGATATAGGCTTCAAAGGCACACCATCTTGTAACCTACTTTTTCCATCTATCCCATTCAACTGTGGATTTATGATGGATTAATCCACTGATAAGTGTAGTGTCTTATGGTTTAATCACTGTTACAGGCCCTTCTCCTGAATACTGCTGCTTTAAGGATCAAGCCCTTCCATATATGAGTCTTCAGGGAACACTTTATATTTAAACCATAACAAAAAATAAGAGATAATTTCATGCTAAAGAGAGAGTTCAGAATACTAGGACTATAAACAAATAAAGAGTACAGTGAAATGTTTACAGGTGCTAAAATAAAAGTATAAATAACAATAAATATATAATAAGTACTTAAAAATAAACAACACAGAAAGATATTTTAGGACCATGAAAATGTTAGTAGACTCAATCCTGTTTACTTATCATTTATGAATTCCCTAGATTCAATATTTTTCTTCATGAACCTTATTATTATTATTATTGTTAGTAGATAGCATTTATAATGTGGCATGTTGGATGTAATGTAGCCCATGTATTTTCCTCAGTGGAGAGTCACAGTATGATGGATTATGTCCACTTAGAAACTCCACTGTAGCAGCCATGATAGTGCAGGCCTGTAAACCTAATACCCGAGAGACTGAGGCAGGAGGACTATATGTTCAAGCTTTTGCTGGGCAACTTATTGAGATTCTATTTCATAATAAAAAAGGATTGGGAACGTAGCTCAGTGCAAAGGCCCTGGGTTCAGTCCCCAGTGACAGACACAAACACAGAGCTCTATCATATACAGAAAAAATTTAAAAAGAGGAATATGAATTGCTGAAGGGCACATAGAATCTAAGGCAGAATCAGGATTTGATCCAGCTAGTCTTCTCCAAGTTCACCCATGCAAGTTACACTGTCTCTAGCATCCTCTCTCACATGACAGCTTTCCATTTCTCAGAGCACACTGGGAAAGACAGAGTGATTTGTTCTCTTTTACTATTTGCGTCTTGCTTATTTGCTAAAGCAACTCATAGATGCCAACACCCAAGTGTTTCCTAGAGGATGAGGGTAAATCTCTAGCATGTGTGTACTGGTGAGGCAGGAGGGTAGGCAGGGCAGTTCACCCCAGTCTTCTTTGGGGTGGGTTTCATGGGCATTCAAATGCCTGCAATAACCAGCAAATTCCACTCTTTGTAGAAGAACTTGTGCCTTGTGTCTGCTTCTAGGTAGTCAGATTTAGTTTTCTTTATTCACAAATGTTGGAAGTCAGCTCTGTGGTGCTCATTCCCAGGAGCCCCTCCAAGTTGGTGAGTGCCAAAGGCTCTAAGTAGTACTGATCACTTGGGGATGAGCCCTTGGAGAATCTCTTGAAATTTTTATATACAACATCGAAGCAGGAAGAATATGGCAGAAGGTGCTGGTTTAGAGCCAGTGTGGGGAAAGGCTTAAGAAGTGGCTAGGTGTAAGTTCATATACATCCGTGAGAGCTAGAAACAGAATCCCGGGCTTCCAGTGCTCCCTGGAGCACTTTCCCTTTGGAAGGGAACAGCTTCTTTGTACACTGAAGCTAGGGTGTCTTGCATATTAGCAAAGCAAAGTTGGCATTTTCTTAAGGAGACTTTATTCTTTTTTCTCTGAGAGACTCTAAAGCCAGACTCCTTGGGTGTATGCTAAACGTTTGCACTGGGTAGAGGCCCTGTGTGGCTGATTTCAGTTCCTCCCACCCAAAGACAGTTCTTCCTCTGACCTTGACCTGACTGGCAAAGCTATGAAATGGAAGAGAAGACTAGGGGAAAAAAAAACAGACAAAGACAACAAAAGAAAAGATACATTCGGGGTGACACTTCCAGACGCTCAGGTGTCTGATTACCAGGCTTCCTATTGCACTTGGGCCCCAGCAGAGACGCAGTCTTCCTCGGCCTTCTTAAAAGGAGCTATTATTAGATGCTGAGCAGAGAACAGTCATCTTGGTGGAGTCTGATGAGGGTTTTGCTCCTATAGGGTTGATGAATATTAATCTCTCTTGTAAGTAGAAGATGTCAGATCTGGAGAGATCAGAAATGAGGCAAGAATAAATAAATCCCCTAGTTGTGACTTTTTTGGAGAATAATATGGTAACTTTCTACTACTTGTCCTAGAACCACTAGTTCTCCAGGGAAACTGTAGTTCAGTGTCTTTGCTCTTTATTCATTGTGAATTGAAACACTGCAGCACTTACACTGTGTTATAGACAAATAAGCCACAAGCCTAACAGTTGTCTGGGAACTTATGATATCCCAGGGAAGATGAAAAAGAATAAATAAATGAACTTTAGACCCAGACATGTTGGGGCTACATGAGGGACTGATCAATCCAACCACTGGCTCGAATTGCTTTACCTGGTGAAGAAAGAGCTAGCAAGGGTGAGGCTTGTGCTCAGTATTTGAGGACAGCTCAGATGAAGGAGGGGTAGAGAGGTTAAACTGGTAGTGGTTGGCAGAATATGCCACCCCAAAATATGCAACCTCAACATAAGGATTACATTAAGCTGAAAGCACTTGAAAAACAGCAGATGCAGGAAAGGCCTTCTAATCTTCTCCCTGAAAACCAGAGATAAAGATTCCCATGTGAAAGATGCCTCCCCTGTACCAGCAGAAATGAAACATTTGATGACACATCATAGCCAAATGAATTCTGCACAAATGGACCTTGTTAAAATAATTCTTATCTTCCTTTAGCCTTCTATATCTAATGTAGCTATTTTTTTCATGATCACTTGTCTCTCTTTGATATAATATGAAAACATGTAGATTCTGCCATTTGGGTCTTCATTTCCTTATGCAGGCTCACATGTCATACAGAACATATCAAATGTGTATGCTTTTGTTCCATTAATCTGTCTTATATCAGTTAAATTCTCAGGCCCAGAGGGACTCTAAAGGGAGAGAAAGAAAGCTTTGCCTCCCTTCTACTGGTAACTATCCTCAAGGGCCTCCCAAGGGTTGGGAGTGTACTCTACAAAGAGAGGCTCTCCAGCTTCCAGGAAATAGGGACAGG